CTGGTGACTCAGGTTCGGTTGCTTCTATTCTCGATTCTGTATGTTTGATTGTGCTTTAGATATTGGGTCTTGTCCTGTAAAACTTCTTGGGATCTCATGCTTGGGTCCCTTAAAATGTGTTCATCAATTGTTTTGATTCTGTTTACTGTCTTAAGAATTCATTTCATACAATTTATAAACTTTCAGGTTTTGTTTGAAATCTTCTCTCTACAAGAAGAATTCACTCAGTCCATTATGAAATTTATGGCCATAGGAATGGAGTAGCTCTTACAAGGACTAGTCTTGATGTTCTTTTTTTGATTAGTCTGTTACCTTTCAATTGTTAGATACATTTCAGGTTTTGTTTGTGCAGTTTTGAGGATTAGTCTCTATGTTCATTCTTTCTCTTGTCGGATATATTTGTTCATTGCCAAGTAGTTTAATCAATCAATGAAAATGTGGTGTATGATGGTAGTATTCACTATACAAGTTCAGTTACAGCAGAATGTTGTTTATTTGGCTCCCGATTAATCGACTCCTGCTTTATGGCTTTTGGTTCATCAGTTAGTTTTTTGCATCGAGGGAGCCATGGGGCGAAAGGCTGGAAATTTGTACATAAACCCGAAAAAGTTTGGGTCTATGGCAAAACCGTGTATGAAAGAAATGGTAGCGTTCCTCAACTGTTTGGCGCTTAACAACATCAAAGATGACAAATGCGATAAACAGAAGCAACTCTTGAGCGTTTGTATGCATGGCCAGGTCCATCATTTGGGATTTGCACCGCGTTTATACTTTTCTTTTCTTGGATTTTTTTGTTCACCTGTTTATCACTGCCTTAGCTATGCATGAACTCTTTTTTTCTTTGGAATTCTTGGTTTACAGACGGACCAGAAGTCGAAGTCATGGGGAAACATTAACTACCACTTGCAGAGGCTTACTCGCGGAAGAAAGTAATATAAGCATGGATCTTGTTTTCCATAGGCTGATAAATTCACTTTACAGATTTCGTTGCTTGTTCAAGTCTACGTTTTGTCTCTATGTCGATTTGGATGTTTCATATGTACAAGTTACTGGCAGCTAGGGGAAACAAATTTGGACACATTGTTCACTAAACAAAGGATTTTGGCTCTCCATTTTGCAATAAACATTTTCTGAGTCAGGGCATAGAGGTCCTTGATTGCTAATGATGTAAATTGTTTAGACATTGTAAATTGCATCCCTGTTAACGGAAACTTTTAGTGTTTGGGTTATGCAATTAAATCGCCTACCAACAAGGTCGTAACTCACTCATCACGACTTAAATATAAAAACGTGTCAATCATAAGCATGGATAAGGAAATGTCATTTGTGGTAGATCTAATATAGAGCCTTTAAAGCACGTGTTAGTATTTTTGTACACATTTCTTATACAATAAGACTTTCAAATAGGTACAAGCAAATGAAACAGTAATCGATTCATTTTCATTTTACATATGTTTTTGATAAACATTTATGAATACTTATACAAGATAAATATTCAATAAAATTTTTGAGAATTTTCACTCTGAAGCAGGCGTTTTTTCCAAAACTCCACCAGGATTCCTTG